TAGATAGATAGATAGATAGATAGATAGATGATTGCTATTGCAATAGCACTTAGACTTATATACACAGTGCTTTTCAGCCCTCCCTAAGTGGTTTATAGAGTCAGCCTCTGGCCCCCAACCATCTGGGTCCTCATTTTACCGACCTCGGCAGGATGGAAGGCTGAGTCAGCCTTGAGCTGGTGAGAACTGAACCCCCAGCCGGCAGTCAGCAGAAGTAGCCTGCAGTGCTGTCTTCTAACCCCTGCGCCACCACGGCTCTTAGACAGGAAGACCCCAGAGAGGTTGGTGGTCTTCTACAGGGATTCCACGACAGACACCCCCATGTTAGTGCAGGGCGTGTGGGTTCCTGCATGCCGTCTGGCTATGAAGCCAGGAAGTTGCATTCCAGGACCAATCCTTCCCAAGAGACCCCTCTTCTCTGATTCCTGGCCTCCCCTTTCCTTACAGGGCAAACTTCAGCTCTGGGTGGACCTGTTTCCAAAATCGCTGGGGCCACCGGGGCCGCCGTTCAACGTGACCCCGCGGAGAGCCAAGAGGTAAGGACTCCCCCTCTCAAACTTTTCCATGCGCGTGCTTTTCCCCAGAGACCCATGTTTCTCCACCTGAACCCCATCTGGGCTGTTGTCTCCAGGTTCTACTTGCGTTGCATTGTCTGGAACGCCCAAGACGTCATCCTGGATGACCTCAGCATCACCGGTCAGAAAATGAGCGACATCTACGTGAAAGGGTAGGTAGCCCCAAGCTTCATCCTGACGAGGGTTCCTGTCCTCTTCTCACAGGTGGAGATCCTCCGTCATCCAGGTCATGGTGATCCCAGAGGTCTTTTTCCAAAGGGCAACTTTGGAAGATCTTGGGGTTTTCTTTCCCTTGAAGCTGAAGTTCTCGTCCAAGAACTGGATGAGAATGACAGTGTTAGCGCTGCGACAACTGAAAAGCTGTAGCCATTTTACCTTTTGCCTTCGTTGTTGTTTTGTTGTTGTTGTTGTTTGGTATTTTCAGATGGAGAAGGGGGGAGGGGGGAATGCTTGAGTTATTTCAGCTAGCCACAACCAGGGGGTAGGCAACCTTGGCTCTTTTATGACTCATGGACTTCAACTCCCAGAATTCCTGAGCCAGCATGGCTCAGCTTGGAAACCTCTCCCTTTCCCCTCAGCATGGCTGGCTCAGGAATTCTGGGAGTTGAAGTCCACCAGTCATGAAGGGGCCATAGTTCCCCCATGCTGGCTCAGGAATTCTGGGAGTTGAAGTCCACGAGTCAGGAAGCGACCTAGGCCTAGGCCAGCGGTAGGCAACCTCAGCTCTTTTATGACTCGTGGACTTCAACTCCCAGAATTCCTGAGCCAGCCACGCTGAGGGGAAAGGGAGAGGTTTCCAAACTGAGCCATGCTGGCTCAGGAATTCTGGGAGTTGAAGTCCATGAGTCATAAAAGAGCCAAGGTTGCCTACCTCTGGCCTAGGCTTAGGCCGCTTTATGACTGGTGGACTTCAACTCCCAGAATTCCTGAGCCAGCATGGCTCAGCTTGGAAACCTCTCCCTTTCCCCTCAGCATGGCTGGCTCAGGAATTCTGGAAGTTGAAGTCTGCGAGTCATGAAGGGGCCATAGTTCCCCCGTGCTGGCTCAGGAATTCTGGGAGTTGAAGTCCACGAGTCACAAAAGAGCCAAGGTTGCCTACCTCTGGCCTAGGCCTAGGTCGCTTTATGACTCCTGGACTTCAACTCCCAGAATTCCTGAGCCAGCATGGCTCAGCTTGGAAACTCTCCCTTTCCCCTCAGCATGGCTGGCTCAGGAATTCTGGGAGTTGAAGTCCATGAGTCATAAAAGAGCCAAGGTTGGTAGCTACCCCTGGCCACAACAATTGCAGCTGTGTGAGAATCAAGGTCAATGCTAGAAAATGTTTTGGCTGCTGAAAAGCTGGGAAGAGAGCCCGCGTTTTAGTATAATTGGTGATTGTGATTTATGACAGCCTTTCTTGGGTGGGAATTGCAACTTGTTACTTTGTGGCAGGGGGATGGAACTTTAGTCTTGGGTTCACCTATGTAAATGCCGATACTTTGTTTCCTAAATAAGGTAAGGTAAGATAAGGTAAGGTAAGGTAAGGTAAGGTAAGGTAAGGTAAGGTAAGATAAGATAAGATAAGATAAGATAAGATAAGATAAGATAAGATAAGATAAGATAACCTTTATTGTGATTTTTTTACTGTGGGCACAACGGCACACATCAAAAAATGAAATTTAGTTGCCCGCTCTCAAAGTGAAACACATACACCACACAAACCTAAAACATATTATATATAACATATGTATAGACCCACACCCCTACATATACGTAACAAATAAATATTAAATACTGTCCATCTTGAATATATAACGGAAGGAGGAAGCTTGAGAGTTCACAAAGTTAATGCTGTATGGAATGAAATTAAGGCTGAATCTGGATGTTCTGCTACGGATAATGTTCTTTGAGGAAGAAATCTTTGCCTTGAAGCTCTTTTAGTTGGTTCCATCTGTCGGAACCATGGCAGACAAACCCATTTGGGACAACTCTTTGACAAGCGGGCTCTCTTCCTCTTGATGTGGTGGCTGATGGGCCTGGTCTTCTTCTGTGGCTCGCAGGTGGCTGGTTGGTTATGAGGAGAACAAGCAGAAGACAGATGTGCACTACAGGTCTCTTGGCGGTGAAGGCAACTTCAACTGGAGGTTCATCTTCCCCTTTGATTATCTCCCTGCTGAGCAGGTCTGCTCTGTGGCGAAGAAGGTGAGCATCCAGAAAGGTCCAAATGACCTTTGCCAGAGGTCCACAGAAGTTCAGAAGATGCTGGGTCTGATGCTGACGGGTCTGGGGGAATCAGGCTCTCTAGGTCAGGGGTAGGCAACCTTGGCTCTTTTATGACTCGTGGACTTCAACTCCCAGAATTCCTGAGCCAGCATGGCTCAGCTTGGAAACCTCTCCCTTTCCCCTCAGCATGGCTGGCTCAGGAACTCTGGGAGTTGAGGTCCACGAGTCATAAAAGAGCCAAGGTTGACTACCCCTGCCCTAGATAGTAGGAGTGATAGCTTCCCAAGCAGTTATCCACTGGCAACTCGCTCTTTTTCCCATTTTATTTTGGCTCCCGTCCTTTTATTATGAGATGTAGTCGAATAAAAAAATATATCTTCACCCAAAGAGCGAAGCTGGGTTGGAATGTTACTTTGTGATGATCACCAAGTATGAAATTAGGGTGGTGATGCAAATTGCTGCACAAGTTGTTCCCTACACAATAGAAGATAATATTGGTAGCTGAGGGTTGAACTGTGGGGTCCTGGATGCTCTCTGAGCTTGGCTGTTTCCTTGTAGATGTTTCATGACCCAACTAGGTAACATCATCAGTGCTAGAAAGGAGTGGAGGGGGAGGAGGAGGAGGAGGAGGAGGAGGAAGAAGAAGAAGAAGAGTGGGGAGAGGAATAGGAGTAGGAAGAGGAGGAAGAGGAGGAGGACTGTGGGGTCCTGGATGCTCTCTGAGCTTGGCTGCTTCCTTGTAGATGTTTCATTGCCCAACTAGGTAACATCATCAGTGCTAGAAAGGAGTGGAGGAGGAGCAGGAGGAGGAAGGGGAGGGGGGACAGGAGGAGGAGGATGAAGAGGAGCAGGAAGAGGAGGAAGAGGAGGAGGACTGTGGGGTCCTTGGTGCTCTCTGAGCTGGGTGGTTTCCTTGCAGACATTTCATGACCCAACTAGGTAACATCCTCAGTGCTAGAAAGGAGTGGGGTTGCAGAGAGGAGGAAGAGGAGGAGGAGGTGTGTGGGATCCTTAGACCTTCCTGAACTTGGTTGTTTCCTTGCAGATGTTTCATTACCCAACTAGGTAACATCATCAGTGCTGATGAGAATATTTGCAGCTCAGGATTGAACTGTGGGGTCCTTGGTGCTCTCTGAGTTTGGTGGCTTTTCCTGCAGACATTTCATGGCGCAACATCCTCAGTGCTAGAAAGGAGTGGGGTTCGCCCCCTATTTATACTAGCAGAGAGTGGGGTTTGTTCTCCCTACAGAGAGTTTGCAGTGCAATACAGAGGTGGCCAATCTAGAACTAAGCAAAGTTTCCTGAGATTGAGAACAATTAATCAGTGGAACATCTGACCTCCAGACGTTGTGGAGGTTTTCAAGAAGAAATTGGACAACCGTTTGTCTGGAATGGCATAAGGTCTCCTGCTATGGGCAGGGGGTTGGATTAGAAGACCTCCAAGGTCCCTTCCAGCTCTATTTCTATTCTATTCTATTCTATTCTATTCTATTCTATTCTATTTTATTCTGCTCTATTCTATTCTATTCCATTCCATTCCATTCCTATTCCACTCTACCCTATTCCCTATTCTACTCTACTCTACTCTACTCTACTCTACCCTATTCCTATTCCTATTCCACTCTACCCTATTCCCTATTCCCTACTCTACTCTACTCTACTCTACTCTACTCTATTCCTATTCCTATTCCTATTCCTATTCCTACTCCTATTCCTATTCCTATTCCACTCTACCCTATTCCCTATTCCCTATTCCCTACTCTACTCTACTCTACTCTACTCTACTCTACTCTACTCCTATTCCTATTCCTATTCCTATTCCTACTCCTATTCCTATTCCTATTCCACTCTACCCTATTCCCTATTCCTTATTCTATTCTACTCCACTCTACTCTACTCTACTCTACTCTACTCTACTCTGCTCTGCTCTGCTCTGCTCTGCCTACTCTACTCTACTCTACTCTACTCTATCCCTATCCCTATTCCTATTCCTATTCCTATTCCACTCTACCCTATTCCCTATTCCCTATTCCCTATTCCACTCTACTCTACTCTACTCTACTCTATTCTTGTTATTCAACTCTTGTTATTCTGTATCCTGTTACTTAATGGTGAACATCGCTGCAGTCTTGCTTGCAATGACTTCTTCTCTACGTTCCAATGCAGGAACATTTCTGGAGCTTGGACAAGACAGAAAATAAAGTCGCACCCCAGCTGGTCCTTCAAATCTGGGACAACGACAAATTCTCCTTCGATGATTACCTGGGTGAGTGGCGAACCCAGGGAGGCCAAGGCAACTTTTCTCAATTCCTCTCTATAAATATCTTGCTGCTTAATTGTCCTCCACGTTCTCCTCCCTTTTCCCCCCCCAACGTTCCAGGCTCCATCCACTTGGACCTCAACTGCATGCCAAAACCGAGCAAGACCGCTGAAAAATGCAACTTGGATCTTCTGGAGACCCGGGAGAGAGACGTCTCGCTTTTTGAGCAGAAGACGGTCAAGGGATGGTGGCCTTGCGTGGCCGAGCAGGAAGGCACCAAGATCATTGCGGTAAGTCTTCCGATCCTGCTTGTTCTCAGAGGGACAGTGTAGTATGGGGCTTCCTGCCGGAGCAAGGGATCGGACTACTAGAAGATGAATGATTGTCCCGTCTCTTCTTCAAAACCTCCAGTGATGGAGCACCCACAACTTCTGGAGGCCACTTCTGTTCCACTGGTTAATTGTCCTCACTGTTAGGAAGTTTCTCCTTAGTTCCAGGTTGCTTCTCTCCTTAATGAGTTTCCATCCGATGCTTCCTGTCCTGCCTTTATGGGCTTTGGAGAATAGGTGGACCCCCTGCTCTTCTTTGTGACAGCCCCTCAAATACTGGAAGGCTGCTATCATGTCCTCCCTGGTCCTTCTGATCTGGTTATTTCACAGAGCTAATGATGCTCTGTGGAGCTAATGGTGACAAGGTTTTGACTCATGACATTGGATTCTTAAAACGTAGAACATAGACTAATAGGATTGGAAGGGACATTGGAGGTCTTCTAGTCCAACCCCCTGTTGAAGCAGGAAACCCTCTGCTATTCTGCTGTTCAGTCTCTTCTTAAAACTTCCAGGGATGGAGCACCTACAACT